CTCTCTCTCTCTCTCTCTCTCTCTCTCTCTCTCTCTCTCTCTCTCTCTCTCTCTCTCCCCCTCCAACAAACTTCCTGCCTTATCACTTATTTATTGGATTTGCTGTCCCATATATTTTCGCTCAAAGATAAAGTCAAAGAAAAGTGCAGGCTTCCATCATCCTCAAGGGAAGAGAGATATTTAAGGGAATTCAGGAAAACATTGGATTTAATAAATAATTCCTGCCTCATTGCATACATGCATTACTGTGAAATCAGCGGGAGACAAAAAGGTGAACATGACAGGGACAGCAATGAAAAGCTCAAACTTTTTGTCTGTTCAAAAAGAAAAAAAAATACTTTGATTTAATATGTGAAAGCATCACGACGGTTCCAGTAATACCACATAATTGGTGCTGAGATACTGCTGGCAGGTTTTGCCTTGAAGTATTCATCAACGAGATTTAACATATTTCTTGGACGCACACAGCCAGACAAGCATCACGGTTAGCTTCTGAATGACCCAAATGGCAGCCAGAGAATATCATTGTCTTGGTATCATTTCAAAGGGGTTGGAGTTATGACGGGAGAAGTGCTCGGGATAGTTTAAAAAAGGTACAAAATAAGGGCCTAAACAAGTGGTTTCAATGGTTTCAAATGTTTTTTTTTTTATGTATTTATCAGTATTTATAAGAGGACGTGTCAAAATGCTGTTTCTATGCAGGGAATACCATGTAGAGCTCAGTTATTGTTTATTAGTGGTGCTCAGCTATGGCAATGAGACAAGGTTTTGTGTTTTAGTCGAACTTAATTACAACTGGCCCTTTGAGGGCTACCACAATGAATCAGGGCCCCAAAGATGACCAACACAAAGAGGGAAAAACTAAAAGAAGGGGACTTTGAGCCCCGCCTGCATTCACTACATACACATGACACGACACCTAAGAACCACAGCATCCAAACCAATAAGTCAGGTGATGGGGCACGTGACCCTCTATGAACAATAGAGCCAATCAAACCTATTGTTAAGCAATGGCCCTCTTTTGCATGTGACTAACCTGTTTGTCCAAGTGGAGGTGGTGCTCTTAAGGCTGAGTTCACCTGAAACTCATCAGACTGAAGAAGTGTCTTAGACAAGAGACGAAACGTYTCACTAAAGAAGAACCCATCCAGAGGACCTACGTATTTTTTCTGCCTGGAATACTGAGATGCATCAG